GGGGGGGGGGGGGACACAACAAAAAAAAAAAAAATATATTCTTTCAAATCTCTCTCTCTCTCTCTTTCTCTCTCTCTCTCTCTCTCTCTCTCTCTCTCTCTCTCTCTCTCTCCCTCTCTCTCTCTCCCTCTCTCTCTCTCTCTCTCTCTCTCTCTCTCTCTCTCTCTCTCTCTCTCTCTCTCTCTCTCTCTCTGGGTAGTTGGCGGGTGCTCTAGTGTGTTTTTCTTTTTCTTTCCTATCAAACATCTGTCGTCGTTATCTTTCCTCCTTTTTTTGTGGTGTATTTAGAGTTGGGCCAGGCTCGCTGTATAAATTCCGTGCCCGCGAGTAACGAATGGTTCGCAGGTACATGTAATTTACATTATGTACGCTCGCAAACGAAAGGACGGGTAACGAACTGTCGGGTGCGAAGATTCAGTAGCTGCACCTCTGGCGCACAGAGTCAGTCAGCTGTTCGATTAGCGAGCCGGTGAACGAAGGGCGGACGTTCTAATGACATCGAGTCGAATGTAGCTTTTTAAACTCTTTTCTGTGTCATTCGCCGATATGCCAGCACTTCTCGCTGTTCCCTTTCACCGCGTGGTGGAAATTGGTGGTGCACCAGGTGTTAACCCACAAACAAACAAGCCCTGTGTCCGCGGGCGATTGATTGCCCAACACCAAGACGCTCAGAGTAAGGACGTATAGCCCGAACCTAGCCCAGAGCCCAAAGAGGTTTATAATATAAAGAGAGCAAAGCTTCCCTTCAAGTGTTAGCGCGATAGACGTTCTGACGTCACCCATGCGGAGTTTGTGACATCGCTCCTTGTCGTGAACAGAGTGGACAACTACTCAAGTAGGCCTACGGGTCTGTCTGGGAGAGCCATTGTTGTAGTTTAACTAATCTAGTGTTGATTTAACGTGTGTTGGTTAGATGACCGTTTCTCTTATTTTGTGTATAAAACTCTGTCGTCTTTGTGGTTGTTATGCAGTTGCGCGCGCCGTAATACCTTACTAAAACACATCTTTGTCGCTGTTAGTGACGCATGGGCGTGCGATTGTGTGTGCTGTCACTGCACTTTTTCAGGGGACTGTATCGTAGAACAAAGTCGTTCTCCTTATTGATTGTTGGGTTGGTCCCCTTGCTTGTGTGGCTAAAATTTGGAAGGGGGTGGGGTGGGCGAAAACACCTACATAAAAAACAGCCAAGTAAATAAGCTCCACAAAGAGACATTTTTCAGATAGAGGCAATTTTTTAAGCCCGCCTTTCCACCAAACCAGATATCAGATTGATTTCCCAACGCCTAGACGCTCAGAGTAAGGACGTATAGCCCGAACCTAGCCCAGAGCCCAAAGAGGTTGGTTTATAATATAACGAGAGCAAAGCTTCCCTTCAAGTGTTAGCGCGATAGACGTTCTGACGTCACCCATGGGGAGTTTGTGACATCGCTCCTTGTCGTGAACAGAGTGGACAACTACTCGAGTAGGCCTACGGGTCTGTCTGGGAGAGCCATTGTTGTAGTTTAACTAATCTAGTGTTGATTTAACGTGTGTTGGTTAGATGACCGTTTCTCTTATTTGGTGTATAAATCTCTCTCTTTGTGCTTGTTATGCAGTTGCGAGCGCCATAAAACCTTACTAAAACAAATCTTTGTCGCCGTTGGTGACGCATGGGCGTGCGGTTGTGTGTGCTGTCACTGTACTTTTTCAGGGGACTGTATCGTAGAACAAAGTCGTTCTTTCTTGATTGTTGGGTCGGTCCCCTTGCTTGTGTGGCTAAAATTTGGAAGGGGGTGGGGTGGGTGAAAACACCTACATAAAAAACAGCCTAAGAATTTAGATACTTGACGATTGTATAGGTCTCCACAAAGAGAACATTTTTCAGATAGACATAATTTTCGAAGCCCGCGTTTCCACCAAACCAGAAATCAGATTGATTGCGCAGAGCCCAAAGAGGTTTATAATATAACGAGAGCAAAGCTTCCCTTCAAGTGTTAGCGCGATAGACGTTCTGACGTCACCCATGGGGAGTTTGTGACATCGCTCCTTGTCGTGAACAGAGTGGACAACTACTCGAGTAGGCCTACGGGTTTGTCTGGGAGAGCCATTGTTGTAGTTTAACTAATCTAGTGTTGATTTAACGTGTGTTGGTTAGATGACCGTTTCTCCTATTTGGTGTGTTGTTTCTTGAAAAAAACTTTCTCTTTGTGGCTGGTATGCAG